AAAGATTTAAGAGTCAAGATCAATGTCAGAAGATTCACTCAGTCATAATGGACATGCTATCACATATAGCTCAGTTATTTAATTTTTACCACGTGTATAGAAAGTATATAAAAAAACATAGTATGATTTTATTTCCTGGTTCAGTAGACTTTTATTTGAAAGCAGAGAGGTGTTTCAAGTAACAACAGTGTCACTGTCAGTGCTTATACGATGTGGTTTTGTCTGGTATCTCTGTTTTTCTGAAGTCTCTTTCATCTTTAAATGGACCTCAAGCCAACTTGTCATTTCCCTTGTTATTCTTGGTCCAAAGTCCACAATTTTCAAGTAAGGGTGTAAAAATGTAAGGACTTTTTTTCCCTGCTGAAAAATTTCTGCAAAGGATCACACATGTCAGTAAAAGTCAGACTCTTTCTTTGTAGAATAGATTTTACACCTGGGCTTACACACATGCATAAAAATTATGGAATTGTCCCTAAAAATTTTTTCTCCAGATACTGGCTTTGGATAAAGTAGCATAAAAATTAATTTTCCCCTCCTCCGTTTTGTCATTCTTTCTGAGCTTGGTAAGCTTCCTACAGTATTTACAGCAGTTTGCTTGCCAATATTTACTGGAGAGGATGGTAACAAACAAGACTTGCTGCTGTAGCAAAACACATGCATGGGTGTTAAGAAAGGTAAAATTTTTGTATCAAGGTTTCATTTTTGAAGGGTGTCAGTGAATTTTCTGTGAACTTTATTTCTTTCTAAGTTAAAAAAAAAAAAAGAAAAAAAAGTAGGCAAGGGAAGGCTTATATTCTTAATCTTATAAAACTGATGCTTCCTGAGAGTTGATGTCTTAGATAAGACAAACACGAGCAGAAAATTGTAATGTAAGTTATTCTGTTAGCACTGGAATCTGCTGTGTAGCAATAAATTTGGTTTACCTTCTGGAAGAGAATTTTCATAATGTCAGAAATGGAATGGCTCAGGTGACTCAGTGCTACTCCATGAAAAAAAGCCTTATGCTGTCCTCCATCCACACTGTTGTGTGCATATTTGGAAAGAGAAGGGAAAGACTACACCCAAGTTGTAGTCATAAGGTTCAATAATGAGCCTGTGTGCTGCACACCAGAAAGCCTGTACACTGATGTTAAGCTAGAACAGCTCTTGAAGCTGTATCGAGTCATACTGCAGCTGTTGCCCTTTGCTGCAGGAATCTACATGGTAGTTTCCCCAATATGTCACAAGGCCAACTCAGATCTATATATCCCTGCCCAGCAGCAGCAACAGAGCTTAGCTCCTTTTGCTTAATGAGTCTGATAATGTCTGTCCCAAGGAGAAGAAAAAGGGCATAGAAAACATTGTTTTTTCTTAATATCCTCACAAAAAGGTCAACCACAAAGGTAATCTTTTTCCTCCCTCTTTCTTCAGCTAGTTATATTGTTCCTCTCAACATCACTGCAAAAATATGTCTGCACTAGATACAATAAAAAAGACGAAGCATCCTTAAGGAAAGATGTTTTCCGTATTGATGCAACCTGTAAAAGAGTACTAGCAAAGTGATATGTATGTGTGTGTGGTATATGGTAGAGAGGATGGATTCTGCTCTATTCTTATCCTCAGGGTCTTGCAGAAATTCTGAACAACTGAAGAAGTCTGTTTGAGGGCTGTTTTCCTTTATTCACTTCACCCTGCCTCACAAGAGCAACCAAATAGAACTTAAATATACTCTAAGCTGTTTTGCTGAATGAACACAAATGTATCAGTATTTTTCTCCTTGTATGCTAGTGCTTAGGTTCTGACAGTAACAGCTAAGAAGCCTTTATACTTATTCCTTTTATTTTGCTTTCCTACTATAATGGATATATTCCTGGAAGGTTTTTTTTTTTTCACATAACCTTCTACATCACTACTTTAGGCTGTAATTTCATTATCTGCTTTTTTTTTCAGTAACTTGGAACTTTTGATGAGTTATTTAGATGGTTTTAAGTTATAAATTCTACCCAAGATGTTTTAGTACATTAGTCCTTTAAAAGTGTAAATGATTTCTGTGTCAAGAACCAGAAGGACGAAAGGTGTAAAATGTCACACTTACGAGAAAAGTGGAACTTACAGATATGCATGTAATGATGAAAGGATTGACAGTTCTGACTTCTCTCAGCCAGATCTGTTAACTTCATCTGACACCAAAAAACTCCCATTAAATCAGCACAGAAAAGAACCAATATTGGCATTTGCACTTCATTCCTTAGGGTTATGAAATATCTACTGCATTAATGAACAGAGCAGCCAGAAGGTTTGCATTCCTTCATGGAGCTGTTGGAGCAAGTCCAGAGGAGGCCCATGAGGATGGTAAGGAGGCTGGAGCACCTCCATTATGAAAGTGGGCTGAGAAAATTTGGCCTCTTCAGCCTGGAGGAGAGAAGGCTGCATGGAGACCTCATAGCAGCCTTCCAGTATCCGGGAGTAGAGGGAGGGCAAGAGGGACTCCTTCAAGGATGCTAAAGAGGGACTCTTCATCAGAGGCTGTAGTGATATAGGACAAGGGGTAATGGGTTTAAACTGAAACAGGTGAAGTTGAGGTTAGATATAAGGAAGAAGTTCTTTATGTGAGGGTGGTGAGGTGCTTGAACAGGTTGCCCAAAGAAGTGGTAAATGCTCCATCCCTGGCAGTGTTTAAGGTCAGGTTGGACAGAGCCTTGGGTGACATGGTCTAATGTGAGGCATCCCTGCCCACAGCAGGGGGTTGGAACTGGATGATCTTAAGGTCCTTTCCAACCCAAATCATTCTATGATTCTATGATTTTCATAGCATGTTACTTTTTAGACAGGAATTGGCGGTCCACTGTCTCTTCCTTGCTGTTGTAAATTTGGAAAACTTTATAGTTGTATTTAGGTTTACAGTCAGGATTGTTTATGCAGTAAAAGTACTTTCATACTATTCTCTGCCCCTCTTATAACCACCCTCATCCTTTTCTGATGGTTATTTGTGGTTTCTCTCTCCAGCTTCACAGAATTAAGTAAAAAACTCTTTAAGCTTGACCAGTGCAATTTTGTGTTTTTTTTAATTTTTTTTTTTTTTTCATTTGTTACTGAGGAAGAAAGTTGGCATTTCATGGAAATATGCATGCTGGTCATTGCACCTTTGAATAGATCTGTTGCCTGCTAGAGTACTGTTGAGATCTTAGCTTTGCCGTGAATGCTGATTTCAAAGATTTGGCTGACTTCTGTAGATCTCAAGCAAAATCTTCCTTCAGTCTGAGGAAAACATGGTGCTGGCTTTAGGATTTTTTTGGTTGGTACCAAGGAAGGTGGATAAAGGGGAGGAGGAATTTATCTCCCTGCCATGGTAAGCAAACTATTGCTTAAAGTGTTTCTGGACTAAAGAGTAGTCCTGAACTGGCTGTGTGTCTTGGGCTGTAATCGCCTATTAACTGCAATTCTGGTCTCATAATGTTATTTAACAGAGGACAGTTGTTCAGCAGCTTTAATCACATGTAATGTTGTACAATTAGCAGACTGTTCGACAAAGGCTTCAGCCTCAGCTTTTTTCTATACAATATAAAGCAGCAACACAATTTCCATTTCCTCCCTATGCATGAACTCAGCAATTCATTACAAAACAGCTACAAAGAGATGCCTAATAGCTAAGAAACATGTCTGATCCAGAGCAACAAAATGATGTGTCTTAGCTCTGTTAGGAAGACAATGTACAGACTACCGCACTGAGAATGGCCTGTGGGCCCCTGACAGCCTCCAGAATGAAACCGGACACGTCACTTTTCACCTCTGTTTTTCTCACATACTTTCAGGTGTCTCTGTCAAGACTGCAAACTCCTTAAGGCACTGACTGCTTCTCTGTGATGTTTGTGCTGTGCCTAGCCCCGACATCCTTGTCTTGGTTGGACTCTTACTTCACACCAGTAGATAGATACTGCTGGATGTTACTGTGCTCCTTATTGTACTGATGGACTTTGATTTTTTGGAAATTCAGGCAAAGGTTTAATGGTATCCCTGGAAAAACAGGTTAAACCAAACCCCAAATAACTCCTGCACGCTCTAAGGGTAAGACCCGCAGAATGTGGGGAAAGGTTGATTTGGATCTATCTCAAGAGTCTAAGTTGGGTCACTTTGGACTCTTCTGATTTGAGATGGTACCAGGAGATGGAATTAAGTATCTTTACCTTCCCGGAACAGACATCATGTCATAAATTATTTCAGCACTAGAACAAAGTTTCAGAGGGTTTGTTACTTTCTTCATCACCTGACATTATTTATTTATTACTTGTAATAATTTATTACTTGTAAAAAAAAAACTGTAAAATGAAAACAGGTTATAGGGAAGTTGAAAAAGAAGGGCTGTGCTTGGCACACTGCAGACAAAAAGACATTTTAGACAATTTTATTACAATGACCACTTTTGCACCGTGGAGTGGTACAAAAGCTGGGCACTTCTGTTACCTCTCGCCAGGCAGTAAAGAGACGGCAAGGTCTTGATCTGAGATGAGAAGGTGGGGTAAAGGACTGTCGGCAGGAAGGCAGGGAGCTCAGAACAAGTTGTAACACCTCTCCCAGCGCTACCCGCCGCGAGTTCAAAGAAAACCGCCTCAACTTCTCAGGACCTGACGCAAAGGCCAGGGGCGCCCCGGCCGGCTGCTGGAGGGGGAGCGATCACGGCGATGGCCCGGGGGACACTGCAGCCACTGCCCGGTGACAGCTCGCCGCCACCACGCTTACCGGAGCAGCGGTCGCATCACCCCCGCTCCCACTGGGCCGTAAAGCCTCCGCCACCTCTATGCGACGGGGGCCTGCGCACCCGTTTCGTTCCCCCCCTCCCCGCCTTTGCTGTTGTTTTTAAGCTGGGGAAGATGTGTCTGTTGAAGCACGGGGAAGGGGCGGAAGAGGTGTATGCGCCTCGGGAGCTGCCGGTGCCGCCGGTACCGCGGCTGCACCTTCAGAGGGGAGGAAGCTCTCCCGCCCTCCACACGCCGCTGAGGGACGGGCGGAGGGACGGATCCAAACGGACCGAGGGGCGGGGGGCGTCACAGCGAGCGGGCAGGCGGCTGTGAGAAGAGATGACAATTAGCCTTTAAAAATGGCTGCTTGGAAGCTGTCAGCTGGGACACGGAGCGGCTGTTAACCCTCCTCTCCCACCTTCCTCCCGCCTCCTTTCCCTGCAGGGAGAGGAGATAAGAGCTCCTCCGCCCCACTAGCCCCCCCGCTCCGCTCCGCCGGTGCGGGATGCCGTAGCGGCCCCACGGCCCGGCCGCCCTCACTTCTCATCTGATTGAGTGGCGAGAGGCCGGCGGCGGCCCCCGCCTCCCGCGCTCCTCCTCGCTGCCGCCTGCGTGTGTGCCGCGGGCAGAGGGACTACAAAGGAGAAGGGGGAGCCGGGGGGGCTACATGATCGAGGGCGGTGTGTGCACGCCAGTGGGGGGCATATCTGGCGAGGAGAAAACACAAGGTCAGGAGCCAGTTCTCCTTCTCCTCTTCCTCCATGGAAGAAGACGGGAGCGATGAGCCCTGAGGAGGACGACGAAGAGAAGGAGCGGATGGCTGAGGGCTGCCGGGCTTCCCCTCAGGAGTGAAGGGGCGCGGAGTGCTGAAGGGGCCGGAGGAGGCAGCGCTGGGGTCGGGAGGGAAGGAGGGAGGAGAGGAAGGCGAGAAGGAAGCGGGGGGTTTGAATCTCCGCGGCTGGATTATTTCCCCTGAGGGGAAGCTGCCCCTGCCCGGGGAGCGCGGGCGGTGCTGCCATCGCTGCCTGCCGCCGGCCGCGCCTCGGCCCATGGCCCCAGCGGCGGAGATGGACCCGGGCAGAACGGGAGCAGTCCCCGCGCCTCGCGGTGCCGGGAGACCGTTCCCTGCCTCCTGCTGCTGCTGCTTCTCCTCACTCCTGGATGTGAACAGCTGGCTGCTCTTCTACGGCTTCTTGTACCTGGCCATCTACGCCCAGGTGTCCCAGTCCAAGTCCTGCGACAAGATCTCCTGCTTCTCGGGTCATTGTGTCAATTCCACCTGTGTCTGCGACCAGGGCTGGGTGGGAGACCAGTGCCAACACTGCCAGGGCAGGTTCAAGTAAGTCTGCTTATTACGATTCCCTTTTCCTTCTCCCTACACCTATTCCCTGGTGGTTTTACTTGCCTGCTTGTTTTCTTTTTGCTTGGGTCTGCTATGATTTTGTTCATGTGTGGTGGAAGTATGTGATAGAAGTTAAGGATGGAATAGGCTCCTCCACTTCATGGTCCCTCCCTCTAGGAACACACAGGACGCAGTCCTGGAGGAAAACTGTACCGGCTGACTTACTGCTGAAAATAGGCTGCTCCACTTGGTGGGAACTGAGAGATAAGAAGAAATCGGCCTAAAGCTGTGTCGCTGCTGTCCCTTCTGGAAGTGTCATGGAAGTGACATGTGCACTTCGTGGGGCTTCCCAGGGAGCAGAAAATGTTGGTGGATCTCAATGACCTCTTCCTTCTGGAAGGTGCAAGTGTTTTGCTCATTCCAGTGTTCTTTTCAAGTGTGTTAGCTAAGTGGGCACTCGTCAGGCACGTTCAGGATAACATAAACATAACTTAGTGAAACATACATCCCTTCTGACAAGGTTTGCTAGAGAGGTGAGAGTGATAAATGTAAACCAATAACATATTTTTGCAAAGGAATGAGTGGTGAATGGAGCTAGAACTGTCTTCTCATTCTTAAAAGTGGATGTGATGCTGGCTCATTGATCAGTGAGAAGGCAGTGCACCCTGACACTTGCTTTTCTACATGTAGTGGAAAAGAAGACTTAATTTATAGGGCTGTCACTTCCCCCCGCCCCCTTTGGTATCAGTATAAAGACTGGCTGTGAAGGATACTGTTTGCTGTTATTTCGCTACATAACCTTGGACAGGACATCTCATTTCATCCTCTTGTAAAACACCTCTTAAAAGCAGATCTTTTGATTAAGTATATTGACACATATAGCTGGAAAATGTTCTAATATTTAGCTATTAACAACACATTGGTGAGGCTGTGTCTTGGAGAAATTCTGTCTTTGGAAAGTAGTAGGTTGAAAGTATCAATAGTCTATTTTAAATTCTGTTTAAGTTCAGTTTCCTCTGTGGAGCACTAGAATTAAGCTACAGAATTTACATCACTTTTAAACCTTTAATCGAGGTTACTCATTCCTAAATGAAAGTAAATCCAGTAACTTGTTAGCTGGGGAAGTTAAGGAGTAGCTGGAGTCAGACACATTGGCTGAAGTAATGTACATGCTGTGTAGGAAGAAACAATTCACTGATATTTGGTGGATGTCCTGGGTTCAGCTGTAGCAGTTATTTTTCTCCTTCCTAGGATTATTCAGTCAGTGCCATTAGAACTGAGTTACAAAGATAATAGAAGGCAAATCGAATACATCTTTTCTGCATATGAATTTGGAAATAAGATTTTAAAGCTGGTCATTTGTTGCCTCTGTGTGTTGAGGATTTAGGGTCTGTCTTGCTCTGTGTTGTGGAACAATGGGCTAATTGCAGAGGAATTGAGAGTGAGGAGAGGAGGCCCAGGTGAATCTTCTTTGTGTGTGAGGATCTGCAGGAGACAGGCTGGCAGAGCTATTATTCCCTTGCTTTAAAGAGATTAGTTCTATCCTTTGTCTTGATGGCACTCACAACAGACCTTGATAGTTCAAGGGCTGAAGCAAATTTTCATTTCTTAAATTTAAAAGCTTGTTCTGAATTAGTATGTCTTCTAAATGGTTATTGGAGCCTTTATCTAGTCGTTACAGGTATTTGCTTGATTGTCTGTTAAAACATTTATGTTTCTTTACGTTGGTTGTATTCCTGGAGTGAGGAGGCACTGTGGTTCCGTTTTTTCAGTTCTGGTAGAAAGTTAATAATCCATCCCCACCTAGAGGAAGTTCTGCCTGAATGTTGTTGAAAGAGCATCTCTTCTGAGCTAAGCCAACGCATGGGTTAATTGCTGTGCCCTTAGGAGTTTTGGTGAAATCAAAATAGATTTCTTATTAACTCCTCTACATTCTTTCATGCTTAGCTTTAGAAATGACAGTGATGTTTCTTTGTGATTATTATCTTGGAAGTAAGGTGTTTGTATGTTGGAGACCTATTTTTTACTGTTGACACTTTAATAGTGCTGTCTTTGATAGCTCATCTTTAATCTTTATTCTTGGAAGCAAAATATACTCTGCAATGAAAATAAGCGTTCTAAGATTTAAAGGATTTCAAGCCCTGTGAGTTGGGGATGGCATGAAATACATTAAGGTGTATTGCAATGCAAGTAACAGCTCAGAGCAGTTGTATTTTGAATCCTGAAAATTCAGATGGGTTTTGAATGGGTGATGAGTCAAGTCTGTATTTGCAACTGAAGAGCTGGAAAAAGCATGTTAGTCTGCCTGACGGTCGGGAGATTGAAGACCTTTCTGACTTCTGTGGCACTTGGTTTGACTTAATATCGTGGAACATTTGCATGTTGTTTCCATTTGTCTGTGAAGCGAATATCTGCTTTATGCATCAGTAGCTGTGCACTTTTGCAGCAGTGGTACTTTCATTTGACAAGCTGGATGTGTATCACGTTTGCAGCAGTTGCTTCTGCCAGGAAGAATTATTATGAAGAACGTTTCAGAATGAGATGAAGATTGAACAGTGTTTGGCTATTATAACTGGATTAACAATTCTGGGTTGTAGAAACAATCTATACAAATGCTAATAGAAACTTGTGTGTTATTCTGAACATTTATGTCGTTTTAAAGTTTCAGCATCCCGAAGTGTCCCGGTGCTACTTTGTTATGCAAGATTAAAATTGAGCTTTTAATGACCCAAATTGGGTGTGCGTAAAACCTGTTTTCTGTCACTAGACTTACTTGAGAAAACAGATTTTTAAGGGTAGGCTTAAATAACTGGAAAATAAGTATTTTTATTCATATATGTGAAGTATGGTTATTTTTGCTCTTTGGTGGAATAAGTGACTTGCATTAGCCAGCATCAAAAACATTGTCATAAGAGAAGCACTCTACCGAGAGGTAGCTTCGAACTATTAATTCTTTGGTGAGAGATGTATAGTATTTCTGGCTTTGTTTTATTTCTTTTTATTGACTGAGAAATAACATAGCAGAGAAACATCAAAAATAATTGATCAATCTTAGTAAGCAGGTGTCAAAATTAATCGACAATACTATAGTAACCTTGCCTTTTCCGCTAGGAGAGCTACAGAGCAAGTAGACTGCTTTGTAAATGTTGCTCTGGACTGGATGAAAGAAGGGTGGATGGGGGATTCTCTAGCAGTATTTTATTATTCTTATTTATTAACTTTTATGATTACTCCTTGTACTGTGAAGCATGTGGTAACTCATTATGTAAATGGAAATGTTGTTACTCTTGCCCCATTGCATTCCCATCCTTGTCAGTAGCTTTCCAGAATGGTCAAGGCCTCATCTCTACTTGGCAGTAAATAATTTTACATCTGTTCAGGATGGTATCTGAATGCAGTTCTGACTTATTTCCTTCTCTCTTGAACTTCCTCCTTCCCCTTTCCCTTCTGCTCTGACAGAATGCAAAAACTAAAATAGAAAAGGGAAATTTAGTTATAAAAAGGGAGGGGAAAGAAATTATCTGTGCATGCCTGCAAGAGACAGGGGAAATACAGGAAGGCCAAAAAGTGAGCAGGTTCTGGTTTTATAGCAGGCAGCTTCAAACAGCACAGTTCGCAAGAAGTAAACAAATTCAAAAGCATAAAAGCAGTGTCCAGTTTTATTCTGATAAACTGATTTATTAGAGCAAATTAAGCTTTTAATGCTACATCTGCTGCTCTTCCCCTATCCTATACCTTTGAATTTGTTGGTCAGTTACAGTTTTCATAATGGTATGAGTACAGGCAGAAGGGAGAGGGAAAGGATGCCCAGATCAGTTGTGAGACTCCAGGGAATTTAGGGAGACAAACACTATGAATGGTCCAACTGAAGGAAAAGCTGCAGTCACAGTGTTTACGTATTTAGATGTCAAAGTCAACCAACCTTGAGATGCCGCACAACAGGAATATAGGCTTTTGCTGCTCAAAGAATGACTTGGGCAAAGAAGTTACTTTCAGTTTGGAGCAAAAAGTTACCTATTTCTCCACCTCTGCTTTGTATGTTGGTGTGTGGAAGAACATGAGAGAAAATGTTGTGCATGCGGCTATTCTTCCTTTCAACCTTTTGAGTAGTTAAATGACTGGAAATCTCTAGTCTTCTAAAATGCTGTCTTTAAAAGAAGTAGGTTGTCTTCAGATGGTTATTGTTGCTTATTTGATAAGTCCCAGTTGACATATGTAATGAAGCAGATTATACAGGATAGGTGAGCATCTTTGGGTACCTAAACTTCGGTTCATCCGCTTTGCCTAGTACTAGGTTTTCTTCTTCAGAAAGAGTAAGAGGAAATTGATATGTTTGATTATTAACCCTTGTCTCCAGATGTTCTTGTAGCACTTGTAAATTACCTCCTGCATGTTCTCCTTGATTTCTAGAGCTCCTACAAAATACTCCGTGTTCCTAAAGGACAGAATAATTTTTCAGTACAAGAACCTTCACAATTGAAATGTCAAAAGGGTATCAAATTTTATTATTTCAGGCAAAACCCTTATTTCCATCTGAAACTGAATTCTGCTGTTTGTGGAATGACTCACACAAGCAAAATTGCATGTTGTAAATGAACAATAATGCTGTGTAAGAAGTGATCTTTAGAGAAAAGATAGTTTTAGATGCAGCCAGTTGAAGTTCATGCTGCTGTAAAAAGGAGTGACTTTATCCTTCACGCTCCTCATTGATTATATGCTTTTGCTTCTTATGTAAGCATTAATATTCCTGCTGAGAATTGAAAAGTGTCAACAGGAGCATACCTCCCTACCTCTGAGCCAATTCTTTTTTTCTTTAAGTCAGATGAGTTTCCTGATGTTACTTCACTCTTGCTGACCCAAAGGGGGTTGCAGGAATGAGCAGGTGTTGAGAAAACCGTCCCTTTTGGAAGTGGAACACACTTAGACTGCCTTAACTTTAATGCGAAACAACATCACTATTAAACTAGTGGAACTTCCATTATAGGGGGTGAAATCCT